TCCTCCTCCTAATTTCTGTACCTGTAACATACTTATTCTCAGCATGTGGACATTAGAATTACAGGAATATTGAATTCCAGGATTTCTGTAAGCTTACCCTCCCACCACATGCCAGTCTGCAGACTTTGCCCTTAAATTGTGATTTGTATCATTTCCAGGTTGCCATTTCTGAGGCCTGTGGATGGACTGAGCCACGTTACTCGCATCACTGGGTCTCCAGCTTGCAATCTACCCATCGTGGGACTTTTCAGCTTCTATAGTGTGAGCCAATCCCCTGATACAGTCCCTCTTTATATATCTAAATCTATCTATCTTATTTGCTGTGTGTCTCTGGGGAACCCCGCCTTATGCAATCTGTATTGGGTACTTCAGTGGCCCCGGGAAGTACAAAGTTAATGACAGGGAGTCTGTTCTCTATTGAGGCAATTGAGATAGATAAAAAATGAATGTGTAGCCAATTGTAGTAGATTTATTTTAAAGCCAGATGTATAAAGGTATTAGCATTAAGATATTGATGACATTGTTAGAGAGAGTGCTGCTACTGTAGGTGAGCTGTAGAGTGCTTGCCTAGTGTGTGTGAAGCCCTGTTTTCATTTCCCAGCACCACAACAAAATAATTATTATCTGAATGATAAAGCTTTTAAGATTGTTATTGGGAACAAAAGCACAAAAGGATAAGTTTCACAATACTTTCAGGCCACTGGAAATATTTCGATATGAACATAACTCATGCTTTAAGTAGAGATAAAACAAGAGATGGAGCAAAAGGATCAGCCATGACAAGAAAATTACATGCCAAACTCAGGAGTGTGAAAATAAAATGATTGGCCTATGTTCACTGAGCTTTATTCAAAATGAAAATACAATAATGACCGTGTCATTATTTGGTGAGAAGCCTTGTGAGTAAAGATTATTATTTTTTAAATTAATTTTATTGAGAAAGAAATAGCAATGAGACAATTTCAAAAGCAGTTAGTAGGATGGTTACAATAATTAATACATTGCAGAGAGTAAGATTATTGTGGAACAAGCAAGTTGTTTGAAAATCTTTTTTATTCTAGTTTTGTGTTGTTATGTTTGTTTTTAAAATGGTGAGGAAGATTTTATAATGTTCTTTGATACAGAGGCATAAGAAGGAGGAAACTGGTGGTGGGACTCAATCATGTTTCAGTTTAAATACGATCGTTTTCATGCATTATCATCATAAACTACATAAAAAATCAGAAGTTCAATTATTTTTGTTTAATTCAAAGGAATTATTACTTATTTATTCTCAAAGAAATGTTTCTTGAACTATAAGCCAATGATGACTAGATAGGTGAAAAAAACACGTCATAGAACACTCTAGTTGTTTTTATCATTGTTATAATGTTTATGCTAAACATAATAAATTTGTTTGAAACTAGACTTTAAATTAGTGTATCCAAATAATCACTGATTAATAATGAGCATTTGTTTAGGTTTTTCTCTCATAGATAGGGAAAAATCTGTATAATTGTCTTAGGTACTTTCTTTTATATCCAATGCCCAAAGTTAAAGGAGGAAAGGATTACTTAGCTCATGGTTCCTAGAGGCTCATAGTGGCATGATTCTAAGGTACTGTGTCATGGCTGAGGAGCATCTCAAAAAACAGTCCATGGGGAGCAAGCAGGGGAGAGCCAGCAAGGGATGATCACAGGTCTTTCTACCCCTTATCTTGTGTAGGATACTTATGGGGAGTAACACTCACACCCTTAATCCTAGTGGCCTTGATCCTAGCATTGCACCACGAATCATTTCCAGCACCAGCCATTCTAGATCCAGTCACCTGTGAACAATAATGGGACAAAACTTTGGAGGGATTTCTAAATACAAGCCATAACATTTTGCCTTTGCCCCTATAAAGACTAATGCACATCCTTTTATACAAAAGGCATTTAATTCATCTCTAAGAGTTACCAAATTTCTAACACTGTTTCGTATTTCTCAAAAATCCAAGTCCAAAGTCTGATCTGAGACTGAAGGCAAACTTTTAGCTGTGATGCTCTTCACAAATAATGTTGAATTCCTCTGACATCAAAAGCAAAGATAAAATTTGTCATTCCAAAAGGTTCAAATAGGTGGATACAAAGGTATGTGCAAATCAAGTCCAATATCCAGCATGGTAAACATTAACTCCTGTTCCCTGTGCCAAATCAGTATCTGAGGCAACCTGTGGCCAGATGTGAACTCTAAAGGGCTTGGGTGAATCTGCACCCATGGGACTGTCAGATGTAGCTTCCATGGCTTTTTTCTTGGCCTAGCTCTGCTCCTGCCTTGCAGTTTCTCTCAGTCCATCCATGATTGACTTCTTCAACCTTCTGGGAATCTCCACTGCACCTTTGCCTTTCCACGTACATCCTCATACACTGCTTTCAGAGGTGCACACTACCTGGCCTCCCTGGCCTTCTTCTGATATCTGGGTAGAAGTCTTCCTAAGTCCACAACTCTTAACATTTTGAATGCACCTAAAACCAGCAAATGTGTATGTAGCAAAGTCCTGCCCATGAGGTGGAGAGTAGCCAGGTTTCCTTCTCTCTTGGCTAGAGGGGTTGAATGACTATGAACCAAATTTGGAGGAACAACTTTCCTAGGTCGTGGCCATTCTGGAACATGGTACTCTGGGACTCTTCTCAAGGGAAAGTCTTTCACTTTTGCACTTCTGAGGCTTTAAAAGATGGAGTTCTGCTGATATTTTTGTTGCCTTCAGGCCATCTTTTCTCTTTTCTTCATCTGTAGTACTTAGTTTTTCTTACTACTCTTTTCAGTGACTAATTTCTCCTCTGTAACATCTATGCAGGTTGTAGGTTTATTGAAGTTTGACCTCTCCGGTCAATCTCACAATATTTTGAATCATTGTGCTGAGTGATATACTCTTGTTCCTCAACATAAATCTGGCTAAAGGCCCCCAACTGTAGTCATGCCACTCTGTCAAAATAAGCTTGAAATTTCTTGTGCAAGATTGATTAGTGTGTTGCCCTGCATCTGAGTCTCATGCAAAGTTTCTGGACATGAGTGACATACAGACAAAATAGTTGATAGTCATCATTAAAGAGAAGGATATAAGAAAAAGTGTGGTAAGGGAAAAGGCTGTGGAGGAAATCAGGAGCCAGCAGCTAGAGGATGTCTCTCCACCCTCAATAATTTCAGTTGTATCCCTTGTGCTCTTACACACCTTATCATGTCTTAGTGGGCTCTCGCTTACCTTTGATGTCTACTTATGTTGTCATGATTGTATTAATTCAGACATAAACAAAGACTGAAAGAACAGTGCATATTTCCCCATTGAAATTTAGCCTCGTGGGTTCCATAGTGTAATGGTTAGCACTCTGTACTCTGAAATTTAGCCATCTGTGAACACTTACTTGAATAATCTTTTCCTTTAGTGTGTATTTATCACTTTGGGTACAGAATTTTACCTGATTTAAAAGTCTTCCTAATTCAACTAATCTCCTTGCCTTAGTCAGAGCCCTATTCAATCCCTTTCCCAATACCTCACTGAGTTGCATGTTTCTAAAGAGAAATTGAGCCATGTTCTAGAATAGAGTCTAAAAGCACACCCTTACTGTTTGATGCACAACACTCAGTTCCCTCACTGTTGCCTCTGGATCCCTTCATGATTTACCTATTTATGACCTTATCTCTCATCTCTTCTTCTGAATTTTGTGCACTGTATCCACACTGAACTACTCACAGGGATCAAGAAGATTTTGCTGCTCACAATTTCATCCAAATATACATTGTTACTGCCTGGAGTGCCCCTTCATCCCTGCATCCTTTCTGGATTCTTACCAACCTTTAGGAAGTAGTACCCCAATCACTGCTCCTGTGGAGCTTTTCAAGTCTTGCCAGGCTACAGCTCATCATCCTCTGCAGCCCAGCAGACTGTCTGTACTTCTGCTCTGGCCCCTTCTCACTGTACTGCATGTTTAGTTACCTCCCTGAGTCCCTCTCTAGGCACAGGCTCCTTCACTGTCAAATTAAGTGTCAGGAAGCAGAGTCACCTTGAGAGTAGGGATGGAATAAAATGACAGCTATTGTGTTTCTGTTGAAGGAGAAGGACTCAGCCTCCCCATGTGGCTCTACCTGGCAGCTCTCGTGGGCCTGTACCACCTTGTGCGCTGGTACCGGGAGAGGCAGGTGGTGAGCAACCTCCAAGACAAGTATGTGTTCATCACGGGCTGTGACTCGGGCTTCGGGAACCTGCTAGCCAGACAGCTGGACATGCGAGGCTTGAGAGTGCTGGCTGCCTGTCTGACAGAAGAAGGGGCTGAGCAGCTGAGAAAGCGGACGTCGGGCCGGCTGCAGACAGTGATCCTGGATGTCACCCAGACAGAGAGCATCGCTGCAGCCACTGAGTGGGTGAAGGAATGTGTGGGGGACAGAGGTATGAAACAATATTTTCCCTGTTGGTTTATTTGGGCATAAAGATGTAAAGGTCATATAGTGTAAATATAGGAAAAGGAAGTTACTACAGGATTTGTCATTTGAAGGATTGTCAAAAACTGCTCTGTTGTTTTATTTCCTTAATAATCTATTAGCTCAAAGTCAAGTACAATAGAATGGAGACTTCCATTTCACTGCAATAGAATGGAGACTTCCAATTCACTTTGCTTTTACAGTATGTATAAACAAAATTATTTATGTGTTAGAAGTAATTATTGAAAGTTTTCAAATCAGTTTTTAAAGAATTTATTATAATTTAGATCTAGAATGTTCCCCAAATTTCATAAACTCCGAGACAGAACTTTTGGAAGAAGACTGGAATAATGTAGTGTGGTATTGATCGGGGGATTTACTTACAAAGGAGTGCAGTAGGTGAGTGTTCTGTTGTGGGTGGGGTCTGGTTAGAGCTGGTCCCTGGGAGAGTGACCCGGAAGGTTTCATTTCCCTCCACAGCTACTCCATTTTCTCTCTGCTTCCTGGCTTCCAGGATGTGAGCAGTTTTCCTCCGCCAGGTCTTTCCACTTTGTTATTACTGCATTGGAGCTGGCTGACTATGATGTAAACTGTGAGCCTGAGAAACTTTTCATCCTTCAAATCGTATGTGTTGGATAGTGTGTCTCAGTGATGAAGAACATCTTCTTTTGGTTGCAACTAAAATATAGCCATTTCCAAAAGCCCTTAGTTCTCTTTAAAGTTCTTATTTTTTTAAGAAAAAATTGTTTTATTTCTTAAGGCAGTATTAGTTTTATAAAAAATTGGACAGAGGGCTAGCAGTATAGTTCAGTGGTGTGGTGCCTATCTGGAAATCATGAGGTCCTGAGTTCAATTTCCAAAACCAAAAAATGGGCAAAGTATATAGTTCCTGATATAACTCTTCCCCCCACTTTCCTTTATTAACAGTAGTGATGTGCATTTGTTACAACTAATGAGCTAATACTTGTGCATTATTGCTAACTAAAGTTTGTAGTAAACAGTAGGGCTCAGTTGTGTGGTTTGGACAAATATGAAGGACATACATATATTATTATAATATTATAAAGGATACAGTAATGCCTCAGTTCATGAATGTTTCTGTTTGTGGTCAATTTGGTTAGCTAACAAGCATCTGGCAAAATTTTGCTGCCATCTGCAAATTCTACATGGGGTGATGAATGTGACTGTAGCCATTTTCCAAGCATGAACATGAACCTGGCCATTGTCTCCAGAATTGTGGAACAAATTAATTTCATGAACCAAGGCACTACCACTGTAGTTTCATGCCTGACAAAGTCTCAAATTCCATATATTTATGATGTATCCCTACCATCCCCAGGCAGCTACTGTTTTTTGTTTGTTTGTTTTTTGTGGTACTGGGAATTGAACTCAGGACCTTGTGCTTTCCAGGTGAGCATTTACTCTACTGGCTATCCCCTCAGTCCCAAAGAGAGAGTAATTCTTTTTTTTTTTGGTGGTACCAGGGATCAAACTCAGGACCTTGTACTTGCCAGGCAAGCACTTATTCCACTGAGCTATCTCCCCAGCCCCTCAGCTACTGTTCTTGTGGCTGTCCCCATTGCCTTTCCAGAATGTTGTATAACTGGAATCACATGTAACCTTATTTTTTATTTTAATGAGAACAAAGATAAAACAATTTCAAAAATCTTAGTAAAAGAGTTCCAATATTTAATAACAGTATATTGTTATCTTTGTAGTAGTTATTCAGGATGAAAGATGTAGGCATGATAACTTGTACACACAATATTAACACAAACCTTTATTTCAATGAATCAAAAGGAACTAACTGTATGACTATCTTACCTATGATAAGTATAAATATATTTTTTTCTTTTTCCTTTCCTTCCCTTCTCCTTTCCTCAATCACAGATTGTCTTTTCTTTTGAGCAGATTCTTCCTAATTCACTGTATCTTTTATACATTTTGGACTTTATTTACTTGTTCACTTTCTCACTAGTGAGACATTACAATGTTCACACATGTGAAATGGATTTATTTCACTTATGAGTATGATTTGGAGTTGCATCCATTTACCTATAAAAGTCTCCAGTTTATCTTTCTCTATAGCTGAGTAGTACTCCACTACATTAAAAAAATCCAAATCTTTATCCATTCCTTGGTTGATGGCCGTTTGGGTTGTTTCCAAGGTTTAGCTGTTAACAAATTGTGTTTATAGTAATTGTTTTGCTATAACATGGGTGCACATATATCATTGTAGTATGGTGTCTTTAATTCTTCTGGCAAGATATTCAAAAGGGAAATAGGTGGCTCAAATGGGATCACTAGTGCTAGTTTTTTAAGGACTCTTCACACTGATTTCCACAGTGGTTGCACTATGCTTTCCTGTCAGGAGTGAGAAGGTTTCCTTTTTCCTTACAGCCCCTCCAGCATTTGTTATTGGTTGATTTCTTGATAATAGACATTCTTTCTGGGGTGAGATGGAATCTCAGTGTTGTTTTTGCATCTCTTGCATAACCAATGATGTTGAACATTTTTTCAGGTAATTATTTGTCATTTGTATTTCTTCACCTGAGAAGTGTGTATTCATCTCAGATGCCCATTTTTGGATTGGTTTTTTTTAATTTGAGGGGGCCTGATTTTTTCAATTCTTTATATATTCTAGATAGAAATCCTCTGTCTAAGGGACAACTGACTATAACTTTTTCCCACTCTCTGGGTTGTCTTTTGAATCTGTTGATGACTTCTCATGTGCAAAAGCTTTTTAATAAGGTGAGATCCTGGTTGTTTATTCTTTGTAGTAGTTCCTTTGCCATGTGGGATTTATTCATGAAGTTTCTGCCTACACCCATGTCTTTGAGATTTCTACCTATTTTCTCCTCCAGTAAATTTAGTGTTTCTATTTTAACACTTAGATCTTTGATCCATTTTAGTTTAGTGCTTGGTGATAGGCTTGGACCTAGGCTCTGGCATGTGGAAAGCCGGTTTTTCAAGCACCACTTATTAAAGAGACTCTCTTCCAGTGAACATGTTTGGCTCCTTTGTTAAAGATAAGTGTCTAAGTGTGTTTGAGCTATGTTTGCATTTTCTATTTTGTTCTACTGTTCCTCAGGCCTGTTTTTTTCCCCAATACTATACTTATATTATCATAATATTGTTGTAGTATAATTTCAGATCTGGGAGTGTGATGTCCCCAATGTCCTTTGTTGCCCAGGATTGCTTTTTCTATTCTAGTTCCAAATGAATTTTAGTTCTCTTCTGGTTCCAAATGAATTCTAGTTCTCTTCTGCTTCCAAATGAATTTTCAGAGTATTTTCTTTAGCAATGTGAGGTATGCTAATGGTATTTTGATTGGAATAAAATTTTGATTTTGATTTGGTATTTTGATGAAATCTGTATAGCAGCTTTGGGAGTATGGCCATTTTCATTACGTTGGTTCTTCTTATCCAAGGGCAATGGATATCTTCCCATTTTCTGAGATTCTCTTTGACGTCCTTTACCAAGGTACTGTAATTTTCACTGTACAAATCTTTTACATCTTTTGTTAGATTGATTCCTAAGTATTTCATTTGGGGGGATGCAACTGTGAAGGTGTGCATTCCCTAATTTCAGTGAGTCTGTTGCTTGTGTACAGTAATGTTATTGATTTTTGAGTGTTGATTTTGGAGCCTATCACACTGCTGGATTTACATATTAAATCGATAAGTTTTTTTGATAGAGTGTTTGGGGTCTATTTGAATTGTCTTCTTTCAGCTGCATTTGGGAATTTTAGGTTCTTCCATTTTGTGTTGTGCTTTGACAGTTCATTTCTTTTTGTTTCTGTGCATAGCTCCATTTATGAATATATCAGCATGTTTATTCATCTATCAGTTGTTGATTGTTGTCATGCTTGTTCCCAGTTCTTGACAGCTATGGATCAATTCTCTCTTCTACTCACTTTTTCTCTTTTTTTTCATGGCATTTTCTTTGAATGTAGAGCATTGCATATTGTAGGCAAGTGCTCTACCACTGAGTCACATTCCTAGTTCCAAATAAGTTCTCCTTTTAAATTCTGTTTTTCTAGATATCATTTAAATGGTCTTTGATCCTCTTCTTCCTCCCTGCAATTTTATAATTCAGTAGTTCTTGGCAAATGGGCCTCCTAAATAGCTCTTCACCTCAGGAATTTCAAATTTTCAATAAAATTTTAAGTATTTCTTGCACTTATGTTTTAAATTTGAAAATTGATACTAGAATCTACTGTAATGTTGTATTTGCTATCTGGGGATTTGCTAACTCCTCTAGGCCCAGCAAAGAGTTCTGTTTGGAGAGAATGTCTCTGCTGTGAGAGGAACTTACCTTTATTGTATTGCTCTTGTTTCCCTGAGGCTTGGTCTGGAAGCTCCTGGAGGACCTGGGCCTCTCTTACCCTTTATTGTATTCCAGCTTCCTGGGACATTGCCTGGTGAAGTGTTACTGGCTAAAAAAAATACTGAGAGGAGGCCATCACCTTGTTTTATCTATACCGTTATGTCCTTGGTTCATAGCCTCATAGTTCAATTTCTGACTGCTTGGTAGATTTCTCCATGTGGAAGTTCTGCTGATGCCTGAAACTCACCAAATCCAAAGGAATTTTTTAATTTTTTTTTGCCTCTTCACCATTCTGTTTTTTCTTCTGGCCATTCTACCACTGCATGATGTTAGGTATTCAGATACAAAGATTTATTAACTCAGGGCCTTGTCAAACACTTATACTTCCAATCTCTTTGTACCCATGTATATTATGTGAATTTCTGAAGCATATGACTGATATACAAAATGATTTGTTGAAAATTAAATTTTTTTCATTTTCATTTCTTTAAGCTGCTGGGAATTGAACAGAAGTCCTTGCACATACTAAGCAGATGGTCTTTGAGTGAGTTGTACTGCTATTGCAGATTGAGTGTTTCATTTCATTTTTTTCCACGACTACATTGACAATTATATATGTGTTTTCATTTCCTTAATGAT